CCGCAGTCTAATTATTATACCACTATACAAAAATATAATTCCGATAAATTTTATCCACAGTCTAGTTACGAATAATTTCCTAAAAAATATTACAATTCTACAGTTAATAAATACGATACAATTATAAATAATATAATATTATAAATAAATAATAAATACAATACAATTCTACAGTTAAATAATTTTCAATATAACGCGCGCACGAATAAATAAACATGTTCAACAGTCTTCGTAATTGCAAAACAAAAAGTCTGAGCTTCGTTATTCGCACCGCTTTTGATGCATCTTTTACATCGCTATAATTAATCAATTCGCCACGAGGTACGCATACCAATTTACGTCCGTGCAAATTCATAATCAGGATAGAATTTTTCGTTTCGTGCACACTGCCAAGATCAAATCTCTATCCGTGGACTGATTGCGAGAGCGGGGAGAACAAGACAGCGAGCAAGATGACAAGGGTCTAGGTACTTAACTGTTCGCCGGAACTCGTACCCTCGTCTATGCATCTCATTTCGTAACCAAAGTCACGTACAACACAGCCAGCCTACGCGCGCGTGTTGGTGACCGTGTATACGTCGTCCTCCGAATTTTCACGCACTGATTCCAAATGACGTCGCAATGGAAAAAAGATTGCTTTCGCTGCAACGAGAGTCGTAGGAACTTCACACTCGTTTCGCATTCCGAAGTCACCGAGAAATGAGAGTAATGATTAGTGTGCCAGTGCAGATGAAGATTTCAAACTTGAAAGTCACCGCGACCGTGCACTTTCTGCGTCCTGAAAAATTCCATCGCCTCGAGGAACCATTTGAGATTTATCTCTTGTACCATTTAATGAATTTTCGCGTTTCGAATTAAATGGATGTTCGTTGAAAGTCTTGCGATCTACTGTTTTTATTCTGCTTTTTTTTCCAGTAGCTATGGATAAGATGTTCTCCGAGTTATCAAAACTTATGGCAATTTGTAATATTTAATTTTTAATGCATATGTTATATATGATAAAAAGAAATGGGATGCAAAAACACCGGTAATTTAATTTTTCATTTTAGGTCCTTATAATTTTTAATTATTCGCTATGAACTTAAGCATTTTTTACGGCAAAAATATACCACGTTAAAATTAAAAGAACATATAGACGTTGTATTTGTTGCTTAAAAAGCAACAACAATTTACAGTTTACTATTTTTAGGAATAGTCCAGGTGAAAACTATTTTTATAAGTTCTTAAACCTGCTTAGCTACATTTTGTACGGAGTTAGACAAAAAGTAATCTGATTAATGATAAACGATTATAACACGTTGATTGCCGCGTCACCCGTATTCGGGTGACAGCAAAAGTTCTCATCAGGCCACGTCACATCCTTACAAAGGATTTCCGAAAATATTTGGACAAATATTCTACAGGAGGTAATGAAACGATTGAATTCTTATAAAAATGGTTTATTAAAAAAATGATTCGCAGTGTATAACATTAAAACATTCTCTACAAAATTGAGGTTGATCAGGACAGCTTGGACAAAAAGTTGTTGGTTTTGTCAGATTTGCTCGTGCCTCTGATCGGTCCATTTCGTATCTTTTATTTGAGCTTTTATTTGAACTGTAGCTTCCTCGGTATCATCAACATTTCTTTCTTCTTCCATGACCAATTCTCTCTCGTAAAATCCCGTCAATAGTATCTTCATAACATTCATTATCACTAAGATTGTATTTATCAGTATCCGAATTAGAATCTGACGATGTAATTCTATTTATGCTTCTCTTTCCGGGCAATCCGATCTCTTTTCATTATTGAGAAAAAATAAGGGCAGAGATTTTAAGTTATACCATTCGGTACTCGGCAAAGATTCCAACTGTTCATGCAGGAACAGAAACAGACATGAATTAACAACGCACGCTTCCTATAGCGGCACGGGTGGCCTGTAGGAGATTTTGTTGTAAATACGCGTGGCAGTCAACGTGTTAACTGATTTAGTATTATAACTAATCTATAGTAATCGGATTACTTTTTGCTCAACTCTGATCGAGTGAGACATTTCATTCACGTATTTTTCATTACATTTGGCATCGATGATAAATGTGTTCGAAGTTTTATCATCGAAGTTTCGATTAGAAGAGACACGATGCAAAATGTAAATAAAAATAAAAATAAATGAACTAGCGAAACAAGGTAAAGTTCATAACTTGTTTTCGATCTTCCAAGTCGAAGTTGTTTACACGATCGAGACTAATGCCGCAGTCTAAAATAAGTTTATTCAAACGACAGTTTACTGTCGGAAAGACCAGCGGAACTCCCACTGCACGGGTTTACGTGCGTCAGTATATCACCGCTGACCTTTTCTAAAATACCTTTTGTAATCCGCCAGCCCCATTCTCCTGGCGCCCCGGCAGCACAACTTATTTCAGAGAAAATAGGACCAGAAACTGCGGAGCCATTTTAGGTCATAGAGCCGACGCGGACGCTTACCCGGTGTGTCGTTGGATAGGTCGTAAGTCCCGTTGACATGTCGCGCGTAGGGATGGACAGGGAGCAGGCAATTAATTACAAGCTCGCTTAATTAAAGAGTGTCTTCGCGTTTCAGACACGAGCACCAGAGAGCTCCACTTTCAGAACCGTGCCGCTGCGAGTGCTCCCCGTTTCTCGTGTGTCATGGACGCAATTTTCCTCCACTCGACTGGCCTTTCCACGGTTCCCCGGAGAGAAACAGAGAAAGAGAGAGAGTGCCAGACTCCTCCATCAACGTTATTTTTAAACTAGCTTCATTATCTGACCCATCAGTATCACAGTTTTCTCCGACGGCAGAAAGGGCCCATCGATTCTCCCCTAATTCGTTGCTTTCCCTCGTAGCGGAGACAACAATCTGTCTAATCTTTTGTTTATTGATAATTGGCGACACTCTCGATTTCTTTGTGTAGTTTATGAACAGGTTAGCTAGATAACATATGTGATCCTTGGGAATAGTTAATTACCAGTCTGATGAAGAGTATAATTGTCGGATAATACGGTAGGATCGATGAATATCCATAAATGGTGTAATAAAATCATGAAAAACATTTTGAATAATGTAATATTGTATATGTAATTACATAATTATATAATTCAGTGAATATCAACTAAACTTTCGAAAATATGATGTAATAGATTTTTGTGTGTGTGTTTAGCTCCACATGTTTTCTTCTTTGTTGTTTCGTTCCGTAGACGTCTTCGGAACTTATTCGACTAAACGAGGCTCTATCGTAAAGTTCAAAGCACCTCGGATAACGCAGAACCTCGGTTAAACGGGACTCGGATAAATCGAGACCTTTCTGTATTCGAATGCGAACAGATATGTCAGGGGTGGACAAACTTTCGATCACTACGAGCGACCTATTCTTTTAAATTATATAGGCGGCGGTCTGCTAACGCCGTATGTGTTAAGTGATCATGAAAAAAGTAGCGATTTAAAGCCAAAAGTAAGTTTAAATTTGAAACAAACTTAGATAATATCAGACAAGCGGGCGACGCTTTGGCCGCCCCTGAGATATGTGTTGCTTATAAAAATAATGAAAGAAATCGTACGTTTCTTGGAGTTGTAGCAATATTCATGATAATGAAGACGTTAGAGGTTCATTAATTTTCGACGAACCAATTATGCACTTCTTCATAGATAACCTCGGCTTTCTTAAGACAATGAAAAAGATAAATGTTTTCTTTAGACGTCCACTCTTAATCATAATAGCTGTTGCGATCTCTCTGAAAAGTGCGTACCTAAAATGTAATGCAAAGGAAAAACCAATATACAATGTACTACATATAGTTATATCATACATATATCACATTATATGTATACAGTTTTTCATAATAATTATTTATATTTTCTTATTTGTTCGTTTTATTTCGTTTTAGCCTTCAAATATTCCAAAAAGCTTAATATTTACGAATATTATATGACGAGTATAATATATGACGAACATACTAACACAAAATAATACCATTTCTTCATGATGAGTATACTCGAGCTAACTGGTTAAGTTAACATTGCACAAGATTCGTAAAACTCTCGTACTGTATCACGTACATATTTCGATACCGATTGATCGTATTCTAGCATCGGTCAGAATAGTTATTACGAGATATTTAACAAGTTCGCTACCATGTGTGACCACTACGATTTTGTATTTCGCGTAACGCGAATATCAAATTAAAGTGAATATAATTATTTAAAATTATAATACATAGCATAATATTTAGAGAATTTATAGATTTTTTCTTCTCGATATGCCTTTATCACATTTTATTATACAGGGTGTCCCAAAAATGTCTCGCAATCCGAAAGTGGCACGTTCCTCAGGTCATTTGAAGCAACTTCTTCCTTTACAAAAATTTTCTCCGAGGCACCGTTAACGAGTTATTAACGAAAAACAGTGACCAATGAGAGGCGAGCTCGGCTGGCACGAGGCGACCGAGCCAATGAGCGGAACTGGGCTTCGTGCGCTGGTTGGCTGGGCCACCTCGCGTCAGCCGTATTCGATTCTTATTGGTCAATTGTTTTTCGTCGATAACTCGTTAACGGTGCCTCGGAGAAAATTTTTGTAAAGGAAGAAGTTGCTTCAAATGATCTTAGGAACCCATTTCCGGAAGCTATTTGAGGAAGCCATTTCCGGATTGCGAGACATTTTCGGGATACCCTGTATAAGAGATTAGAACGTATTTAATACGATAAGTACAATAAATATATAACTATGCACGCTAGTGACGCTGTTGGAGAACGTGTTAAACAGAGTAGGTATATTTAGAGATTCCATAGACTCTACGGAGCCTCGCTTTGAAAACAAACCAAGAAAACCGACGTCGCAGCGTCGCACGCTGCTGCGTTATTGGAACGGCCATTAACGCGACCAAGGATTAATTCGTGAGAGAGCAGCGAAGCTGCAACCGGTAACTATGTCACGAGCGCCTGAGTTTCGATATGCCTCGGTTTACTTTCGTCGCGCGCTCTACAACAGGATAAATTGTGCTTTCAGTTTTCCCATCGAAAGCTGCGACGCTAGCAAAAGGAGCGACACGATGAATTAGTGTCCGGCGAGCGCGCGCGCGAGAAAATCCGTCGGCGAAAGTATTCGATCGGTAGCCGATCGGAAGCATCATCGAGCTCGTTCTCTAGCTCGCCAAGCGAGAAAGAAAACGCATTCGCGTGCGGTGTATTGCGAAATAAGCGGGAAAATGGCGATGACAACGCCGACACGTTGCCGCGGCGGTGGCGGCGGCGGCGAGAATCTATCCGAGGATATCACGAACGAGGACGAGCTGGCGAACACCGGTAATTTCGAGCCTCTGAGCGACTCCTGCGGCGAGAGCGACATGGAGGGTCTCGATCTCTCTCTGTTCGAGCCCCAGGTCGACGCAGGTTCCTGGTGCGACTCCCGGATTCACGCCGGCACTCTTCATATCCTGGTCCATTACTGCGGTAAGCTCTGATATTTTTCACCAAGCCCCGGTTCCCCGAAACCCTTCCTTTCCTTCCCGCGCAGATTAAGAATCACGGTGATTGCGGGACCCTTCCTCTCGTCCCTCGACAGTCTACAGGCTTTAACGATGAGTTCTTACGCCGGGCACCCGGTGAAATCTGACCCTCTGATTGCGGAGAAGCGCCGCCGGAAAGTGTCTTAACTTTTCGTTCATAGTTGGCACGCCAATTGTATTTTCCCTTAAGCGCCGATTATTTTTGGTAATCGTCTGGCATTTCCGCTGGAAATGATCGTCTTCTTGAGATACCGTGACCGACAACAGTAATCGTACATCTTTTAAAACGCAATAACTTTTATTAATGATAATAGTAATAATAACAACATATTTTATTCGTTCTCTTTGGGATTTGTTCTCTTTTGGTGTACAAAGGAATATACAGAATATCCCAGCTTCGGTGGTACAACCGAGGACGGGGTGATTTTATATATATTAAAAACAAAAATCGAAAATAAACAATCAAATCTTTTCTGTCGAGAAAATCGAATTTGATTATTCAGCATTTTCAACGATTTTTGCATTAGTAAAGTAAGTTATTAACTAAATTACAGGTCTTAGTTTTATTGAAATCCACTCTAAATCAATTGGCAGAAATGAATAGTGCAGCATATCGTGTGTGCATAACCCTGACCTAATCTTGACATAATCTTGTCCTTGGGATTCTTATTTCTACATACATATTCGTCAGATAGTACATTTTGATACTATAGAAACTTTTTTTTGCGAGAAGTTGCGGTCTTCAGAGTCATTTAACAAAATATTAGGTCTACCGGAAAGTTCTGTCCGTTTGAGAAATGAAAGGAAATAATAGATTTTTCATAAATTTAATAATATTTATTGTACAATATAATTTCCGTCATTACTTATGACCTCTTGCCAGCGTGATGGCAATTTGTGAGCAACATTTTTCAAAAAAAAAAAATATATATATATATATATATNGGCATTTCCGCTGGAAATGATCGTCTTCTTGAGATACCGTGACCGACAACAGTAATCGTACATCTTTTAAAACGCAATAACTTTTATTAATGATAATAGTAATAATAACAACATATTTTATTCGTTCTCTTTGGGATTTGTTCTCTTTTGGTGTACAAAGGAATATACAGAATATCCCAGCTTCGGTGGTACAACCGAGGACGGGGTGATTTTATATATATTAAAAACAAAAATCGAAAATAAACAATCAAATCTTTTCTGTCGAGAAAATCGAATTTGATTATTCAGCATTTTCAACGATTTTTGCATTAGTAAAGTAAGTTATTAACTAAATTACAGGTCTTAGTTTTATTGAAATCCACTCTAAATCAATTGGCAGAAATGAATAGTGCAGCATATCGTGTGTGCATAACCCTGACCTAATCTTGACATAATCTTGTCCTTGGGATTCTTATTTCTACATACATATTCGTCAGATAGTACATTTTGATACTATAGAAACTTTTTTTTGCGAGAAGTTGCGGTCTTCAGAGTCATTTAACAAAATATTAGGTCTACCGGAAAGTTCTGTCCGTTTGAGAAATGAAAGGAAATAATAGATTTTTCATAAATTTAATAATATTTATTGTACAATATAATTTCCGTCATTACTTATGACCTCTTGCCAGCGTGATGGCAATTTGTGAGCAACATTTTTCAAAAAAAAAAAATATATATATATATATATATATGTGTGTGCATATCTATCGAAATTTGCAGTGACATTATCGGACAAAACTTTCCGGTAAACCTAATATATAGCTATAGCCGGTCAACAGCTCAGTCATTCACTTATAGAAATATTAGATTTGATTATTCAATAAATAATAAATAAGAATTTTTTTATGAAATCATATAATTTTTGTATGCAGATCGATGCATCTTTGTATCTTCTTTGATAGATTATGAAGCCGTTTTTGTCGAAAATTGATTTGCTTGGAAGTTATGAATTTCGTCCCGGATGCTCATATAAGCGCCGCACTGTGTGCCGGGTCCAATTTTCAAGAAGTTATTTTGCTTTAAAAGCTGTACGAACACATTGCTTTAAAGAAAACGTGAGATTTGGATTTTATTTTAAGTATTATTGGTAAGTTCGCTCGACCCACTAAAATTACTATTGTAGAAGCAACAAAACTTCTAACAAGTTACTCCTGTTTTATGCAACAGTTTCTATGTTGCATAAAGATCTGCAGTCTAGTTATGGTGAACCGTGGGGATATTTTTAACTTTCTAAAATCGACGACGAATTTTGTCACTCGCGCGTCGTGATTCAAAAGAACCGAAGTCACAACAATAATTTCTCCAAAACCAGCGTTTTCCGTCAATTCCAATTCTCCATCGAATTCAGTATTTTCCACCAGGTCCCGCATTTTACACGGAACACTGTCATCACAGATCACGCCAGGTCGGCAACCGGAGCAGCAAAACGCGGCGCCGTCAATCGTTCCGTGGCCGAAACGGCGCGCGGAGCAATTCAGGTGTCACGCGTGGTTAACACGTGTCAGGTTCCGGTGCAACAAAGACGATTAAAGCGATATCCTGGCGCCGGGACGGAACGGGACGGGACGGTGGATGATCGTCGAACCGTGAGCGTGCAGCGAGAGCTCACCTGCGAGACGCAGCATCTGCATCCTCCCGGTGCACTCGGAGCACTCTGCGCACTCGGTGCACTCGGTGCACTTGCGCCATTATGGCCGGGGCCGCGGGGCCAATTGTCATTAACATACAATGCCGCCCGTGGCCGATACGCTCTCGCAGACGAATATCCTCGGCCGTGATTTACCGGCGCGAATTAATCTCCCGCGTTAAATGAAAAGCCGAAGTTTCGCGTGGGTGCTCACCCTCGGAGATAGCCGCTCTGGCTCCCGGGGACTGGCGAGTCGCTCGATCTCCGCTCCTCCGGCTCGAAGATGGCTCGCTTCAGATAGCGATGAGATGATCCTCGGAATTTTCTTCAGTCGTCACGCAACCGTCGCATCTTCGTTGCCTTTTTTTCTCTCCACCGGCCAGATTGAAGGATATTCGCGTGGGTCCCGGCGGTTTCGATGCGAGGTGTAAGTTCCTGGAGATGCTTCTTCGAGGTCTTTTTCGACACGAACTCCTGGTTCTTCGTGTTTGTGGAGAATTTTTTTCTCTGTGAGGATGTCTTATATATGTAGATGGAAGGATTTTTAGTATTCCGTTGTAAGATTAGGTCTTTCGTTGGTAATTCGTTGTTACAACTCTTAGTAAAATGCATTCCAACACCTTTTAAGCCAAATTCGACAAATTTTTCAAATTCGAATGAATGACTTGAACTTTCTTTAAATGTTAAACGGACTGGTTCACTGTACAATGATTAAAATACTTCTCTAAATATTGTTATCAATTGAAATGACAAAACGAAATAAAATGCTTTAGTTTTTTAGCTTTTTTATCTATATCTGTAACGGAGAATTTAAAAAATGCGTTTTGTAGGTCTCGGATGCGTATGCATACTGTAAATTTCATCGGAATCGGTAGACGCTTAGTCAAGTTGCAGTCATTCAAAGATGTAAAAATTAATCCTTTTAACAGTGAAAACAAATTCAAGTCATTTAGTTCAGTTTGAAAAAAGTTACTGCATACTAAAAGGTGTTCGAATAGTTTCTGCCACGGACTGCATTCTTGTGTGACGTTGCTGGACCTAACTCATTTTTAGAATGTGGAGTTTATGCGTTTTTGAAAAATTACTACGTCAGAAACAAAATTGTAAAGACAGAAGAATTTGAGAATATTTTTACATTGTATACAACGTACTAGAATTATTAAAATTATTAAAGGAGAAGAAACCATTTTTATTTTGCATAAAGATCCGCTGTTTAATGATGGAGTATGATTTTCCTTGTCAGATATGATGGAATATGATTTTCTTTATCAAATATGATGAAGTATGGGTATTCTTCAAGTGCCTCTTTTTCAGGATAATTTTTATTCGTTCGTTTTTCGCTATCTTATCGTTCTCCAGCTCTTAAATCAAAATATTTGATGGACGTTGATAAACTCCGTTTCTATTTCAAGTTCAATAGAATTCCTACTACAGTTTTTGTACTGCAGTATTTCTTTTATATATACTAATGTAATGTCCGTGAAAATTGTATAAACTGCATGTAAAAGTGCATGTCAATAGTACTACCAAGGTTGTTCCAATTTATGGTATAGTTTCTCGTTCGAGATGCTTCGCTTCTGGGAACCGAATCTGGTTTCTTTAGTACTCGAACTTCTGGTGTAAAACGTTCGCGGTCTAGCAGAATGTTTTTTCTTCGAAAGTCAGGAATTAGCTCGAGGTTTAGCGAAGTTCTCTCGGATAAGACGAAGCGATCAATCAATTTCTTGCAGGAAGGCGAACCGTCAATGACTGTTTAATAACAGTTGCCTGTGGTTTGGTTTTGCGTCTTTGCACCGTAGTAAAGAAAGACGTTTCTCTTTGTGCTCCGGACCGTTTCCGAACTGTTATTTTGAGGCGATCATAACAGTGGTTTCATTACCTTTTTTCATTATTTTTACCACAGAAGTTGAAAGGCACCTTTTAAAATTTTTATTTAATAGTGTCTTTATCAGGGATGTCAAAAGACATCTTTTTAAAACCTGCATTTAACATTATTTTTATCAAAAGGGTGGAAAAACAACTTTTAAAATATTAATTTAGTATTATTTTTACCACAAGGGCCAGGAGGCACCTTCTTAAATTTTAATTCAACATTATTTTTACCAAATAGCTCAAAAGACACTTTTTTAAAACCCTAATTTTATCGCCATTTTCACCAAGATATTCAAAAGACACAGTTTAACATTTCAATTCAATACTGTTTTTTCCAGAGGGGTCAAGAAACACTTTTTTAAAATTTAATCTGACACTATTTTTATCAAAAGAAACTTTGTAAAATTTCAATTTATTTTCTATAATTTTCTGATTTGATTTTTCAACTTTCCATATAATAA